AAATCTTCTTCACTGCTTTTTACTTCATAATTACTTCATTCCATTTTCAGAAACCTTACAGAAATGAATAACACATGATAAAGTGTATGTAGATTTTTAATCACTCTTTAGAACGCGGCCCTAATGAGTAAAGCCTTAATTAATTCCACATGATGAAATAAGTAGTTGACAAAGAAGGTATTTTCCTAATTTCTATGGATGGCTTTCATAACAGGATCCTATTCTTTCCTTTTTGTTAATAGCATGCCTAGTAAACCAGAAGTGTGACAAGAAATAAAATAATCAAAATAATAATGATTTATGAGTTTTTGAGAAACTCTCTGTCATGGTTTAACCCCAGCCAGCAACTAAGTCCAACCAAGCTGCTCGCTCACTTCCCACTGGTGGGATGGGGGAGAGAATTAGAAGGGTAAAAGTGAGAAAACTTGTGAGATGAGATACAGACAGTTTAATAGGGAAAGCAAAAGCCATAGGCAAGGAAAGCAAAACAAGGAATTCATTCATCACTTCCCATGGGCAAACAGGTGTTCAGTCATCTCCAGGAAAGCAGGGCTCCATCACATGTAACAGTTGCTTGGGAAGACAAACGCCATCACTCTAAACACATTCTCCTTCCTTCTTCCCCTGGCTTTATATGCTGAGCGTGATGTCATCTGGTATGGAATATCCCTTTGGTCAGCTGGGGTCACCTGTCCCAGCTGTGTCCCCTCCCAGCTTCTTGTGCACCCCCAGCCTACTCCCTGGTGAAGTGGTATGAGGAGCAGAAAAGCCCTCGACTCAGTATGAGCGCTGCTCAGCAATAACAACAACATCCCTACATTATTAACACTGTTTTCAGCACAAATCCAAAACATAGCTCCATAGTAGCTACTATGAAGAAAATTAACTCTATCCCAGCCAAAACCAGCACACCTTTCCAGCTTGCAAATTTTTGATGCATTTCCAGAGGAACTGCAGAATGGTATCTGTCTAAGCACAAGATTTTGAGAAGGAAAGCCCTGTTTTCACTCACCTGGACTGCTTAACCTGCAGTCCCTAGATGCAGTGAAGATGGCGGACTTCTCCAAGTGGCTAATTAATGAGCTTTTAAATGATATTCTGTAAACATTAGGACTAATCAAGCTTGCTTTTCTGTGAATTTGTGACTCGTGGTTGAGTACAGACCCCAGTTGGAACATTTCTTGTGTTTGCACAGGGGCTCGCCTGAGTAGATTCTCTGGTGTCTAGTATTACACTCAGTAAAGGTGTTTCTAATCAATCACCTCATTCCATTGAGTTTTTAGGCTTTCTGTTCCACTGGAGGCATTTTCTCCTCTTCCAATTTGTCTGATATTAGCCAATAAATGGTAGAGAGAAGTACTGACAGATATCTCTCCAGACCACGTGATTCTATCTCGTTTCCAGGTCCTCTCCAAGAAACCCATGGCAGAGAGAACTGGGATTGTCCTCAGGTCTTCTTACCCAGGGCTGCACCGCTGCTCAAAAGCTTTCTCCTCTCGCTTGCTTTCTCTCAGCAAGCTCCTACCATCTCCTATGTTATGCTCTGCAAGGCAGCTTTATGGAAGTTGGTTATCTTTCTCTGATATTTAAGCCATGGAAAATCCAGCCTTCTGGCCAAGTATTTTTAGGGTTCCTTATTGCCCCTTGGTTGCTTTTATGGAGCACAAAACAATGGGAACAGCAGTGAAAATTTACTATAAGGTGCCCACATATTTAAAGAGACCAGTGCTTGTTTTATTTTTGCCATTAATAGTTCTGGCAAAATAGCAGTGCAGCTTAGATATGAAAAATAATATTTGTAGGAAGAATATGGGAAACCTATTGAGCAGACTTACTTAAAACTTAAGAAAAAAATATGAATGCTAAAAAACAGCAGATACATGTGATCTAACAGAGAAAATACTGAGGAAAAAAATATCTCAGGTTGTAAAGCCAAAGAATCTATCTGGCTGTATGGATTCTGCAGAAGTTTGTGTATGCACTAGTAGTTCAAATGTAGCAACAAGCAGTTGGTCTGTGTTTCTTTATTCATCTTAAGAATGTACTGGATTTAGACTCTAATTCTAAGTCTACCCATGTATTGTAAAATGATATGGACCCCCACTAACTTTGGAAACGTGATAGCCTTCAATGTTTTTAAGTCTGCTTTTAAAATGAATACAAGGACAGCATAGATACAGGAAAAAGGAACTTTGTGGGGAACAGTCATATTTTCTTTTACTTTCCTTTCTTATTCACTGTCTACTCTCATATCAAAATGCACACACTTCATATAAATAACATATTCCCAGAATGCATCCCCTGACATTTAGGAAAGCCAACATGTAGGTTTAAAGCACACTGCTGAGAAACCATCATACAATGTGCATTAGAAACAAGAGGAGTTGAAGCATCATTTCTTCTCCCTGTATTTGGACAAAAAAACGCTTAGTTGATTTAGAAAAATATCATGTTTCAGTTATACAGCATCTATGAACAAAAAGATGAGGAGGGATCAGAAAGCTTGGAGAAGAAACAGACAGCAGGAAATCAAGTATATACTTAATTGCATATAGGTCAGGTTGGATGCAAGCGAGCAGTGACCCACAGTGATCCTCTGATGCCTGTCTGTCTTCTGACCTACGTGGAATGAGACAGCTGAAGCAGTTCAGTATGAGGGAAAGAGGTCAGTCCAGGGTTTTGGCAGGAAATTCAGGTCAAACATCATGTTATATTTTCCCCTTTCCCTCTAAGTGAGAACTATTATCCCAGATGCATAAGCAAAACTGATTCAGATATCACCATTTAAATTGACATAGAGAGAGATGAGGAGAGGAGAGAGGCTTAAAGGAAGCTGCTGCAGAGCACTAGCTGGGCAGAAAAACAAGCAAGAGGGCAAGAATGAAGCAGACCTCACAGTCTCTTAAAAAGTTGCAGGACTAAGACTGCAGAGATTCCAAGCCTCTGGGTAAAACAGAATGAAAAGCTACCCTCTGTCATGTCCATGGGTTTATAAAGATGCCCTTCAGACATAGGCACCCAACAGCTGTCATCCCACCACCGGGGCAGAGCCCTCATTAGGAGGTGCAATCAAAGCAGCAACACGCAAGGGGAAAATGGAGGTGTTGGTCTCAGCAGTGTGAAAGGGGCGTGAAAGCAGGCTCCCCAGAATTTCTCCCCTGAACAAGGAGGGAAAGTGAATTCATGTCAAACAAGAGACCAAGAGGCAGACATGTCCAGGTAACAGAGGTCAGGCCAGTCAGGGGCTTTCCAGAAGAGGAACTGCCCACCAACGGCAGAAGGCAGGGATGCTGCAGACTGGGCAAGCAGGGTGAGCAGGGACACTTAGTGAAAGGCAGGGCTTGCCCCGATCAGTGGGGTACAGAGCAGAAATCCCTACACTTGGGCTCACTGGAGTGTAGAGAGTCAGTTTTCAGTGGTACTACCTGTGTCAACATTTTTTTTTTTTTTTTCTGGAGATCATCCTACCATCGCTGTTTTGATGAAACCCTTTACAGAGTTGCTAAAGTGATTCATTCCCATCACTTCAAGCACTAAGTATAACTGCAAATCAGGAATGATCTCAGCCGTTACTACATGCAGCATTTCTGCATAGGGCAGACACAACATGTCTGTTGTGATGGGAGGTTGTCAACTTTCCCTTCTCCAGTAAAAGAGAAATGAGGAAAATCTTTTACTATTAGAATGACGGATAGGGTTAAAAAGCTAACAGAACAGCTCAGGAAAAGAATAATTAAATGCATGTAGTTAATTAAACCACTTAATTTAAGAATTACTGAATACATAGGGAAAGTAATAGGCATCTGCACTGAATAATACAAGATTAAAAGTAGTGGGTTTTTTTTAAATCATTAAAGTAATATTCATGTCAAAAGTAGTGAAAAAGCAAGGGACATATTAGTTGCTGAGTTTTAGTAATACTAGCATTAAAAAAATAAGCATATACATTCAGTAAGTGGAAAACTAGGGAACAATCCATTAAAGGTAGTTCTAGGACAGTGGGAAGATTTGGCTCAAAAGGAAGAGCTGTTCAGAAAGTTTTGCTTCAAATGAGTTTTTTGAGGGAGAAAAAAAGCCCGGAAAAGATGGCAAAAAACCCTGAATGGCTTTAAGATTTTTCTTGGTAAACTTACAGAAGGGGATACAAGAGGTAGTGATCTGCAACAGGCAGAAAAAAACGGTCATTTGCAGTATTACAGTATGTGCCCTCTTTCTCCGAGGAGTCTAATGGCTTGATAGCAAGAGGGAGATGGTGGAGAGGGAAGAGTATAACTGTCTTATTTTTAAAAATTGAAAATTTTAAACACTTTGAAAAACTTTCAAAAAGAAAAGGAAGCAATTTAGTTTTGTTGAAGTTTTGCACAGTAAGTTTGAAAAGGTATCACAAGGCATAATCTCTAGGGAACTTGGCTGAGGTGTGACTTGAAAGGTAAAAGGTGTTGAAGGCAAGGTATCTCTCTAAAAGGTCTCTTCCACATAAAATGTTTCATTACTGAAGCTATATTGACCTCTATTTCAAGGCAAAATGTTATGAAGTCAGCATGAGCAAAACAATGGTGCTAATTGCATAATAAACCCAAATAAGAAAAAGAATAACACAGTAACAGAGGAGAGTCTTTTCCCCATGAAATCAACATCAATGCTTTGCTTTTTTACTGACCTAATGTTATATGAGAGGCTGATCTAAATAAAATATTAGAATAATCAGACTAAAACAATAAGAGAGGAATTTGATACCATTTCAAAGGCTTGATCCCAATGAATGGGCCTCACAAAATTTTTCAAGAAGTCAGTCCTGTGACTCCCCCATCCATCCTGTGCACTTTTAGATAGAAAAAGTCATATTAGTTTATGTGCTTCATTGCTCTATGTGCTCTCTGTTATGGAGAGGGTTTACCATATTTTCCTCTTTTTTATACTTCCCATCAAACAGATGTCATCACAAAATACTGATGAATTCTGCTTAATTGGTGCCCTTCAAACTAATTACATCTACTTACCTCTCACAATTAATTGGCTTTGGTGCTCCACAGCTGCTGCATCATTTCTAGCTATACAGGTATAATTCCCATTGTGCATCAGCGAAAGATTAGAAATCCTTAAGGAGCTGGTGAAGTCGATGTTGTCAATCGTCACCCCAAGGCTGGCTGGGATTGGCCTGCCGTCCTTCTGCCAGGTGATTGTGATAGGCAAATCCCCGGAGACCACCACGCAGGGAATGAAGACCCGTTGCCCGATGGAGAAGCGTGGGAACTCAAAAGGCTGAATAAAAGGCGGAACTGAAACAAAAGAGAAGAGAGGAGCTATTGCAGTTACAGTCTTGTTTCTGAAAATAACATAATGGAACAGATGTGCAGTGCTGAATATGTAAAATCAACACCTTTGACAGCCATAGAGCATTAAAAAATCACATCTTTTGCAAATACCTTTTTTTTTTCCTTGACTACCCAATGCATAAGCAGAAATCACAAGCAGTGAAATCCCTGGCTTCTAGAGACATCAGACACCACTGGCAGATTCCTGCAGGAGTATTGAGCACCTCTTCAAGAAATCACACTGCCAGCTTATGACTCTCCAGCTCTTTCAGCAGAAGGATTGCCCGGACAGTCCAGGAAGAGCTCCGCAGCTTTCAGAATGTGGTACAAGAGTCTTGCTCAGAGTCACAGAATAAACCTGGAGGAGGTTCCAGCTTTATCTTTGGGATGTGATGAAAGGGAGTATAAGCTTCTCTAACTGTTCCTGGCACTTGTTCCTTAGTGTTTCAAGTCAAAATTTTCAATAAGATTGAGTGGATGTACAAAATGAAAGGCATATACTGTACTTGTAGGACAGCAAATTAAGTTAAAACTGATTTCTAAACAGAGGGCCAGTACAAGTCATAAACTCTCAAGCTGGTGTTTAACTCCTGCTAAGCATATTTTGCTTGGCAGATTTTATTTTTATTTTTTTTTTACTTATTAGTCTGTAGCTGAACCAAAAAACATGAAAGAAATGCTCTTGCTTTCTATCATAGGGAAGAATTCCACTTCTTAGAAAACATTTTGTTTTCAGCTTTTTTTAATAAAAATGAGGGAAACGGTTGGATTCAATAAACAAAGCAGGAGTTAAAGGAGGTGTCTCATGTTCTCTGGGTTGTGGTTGGAATGTTTACTAACAATTTGGTAAACTGAGAATCAAATACCTACCCAGATAAAGGAACTGAAATCTTCTCCCCTTCTCAGGAGCATTCTAACAGCCAGGGCATTGATCTAAGATAGGTTTCTATCAGTCACTCCTGAAAAGACTATAAAACCAACATTGCAAGCAGTACTTAAACAGCCATTTATCAAGAGAAGGTTCCTAGAGGTTATGCACCTTACTTAGATATAGGAGTACATTTTCCTATTCTTGCTTGAGAGATTACTTCTATATACTCTGTAGTACACTTGAACATCTTTAACAGGAAAGATTGAAGGATACACACAGCAGAACATTTATACTGCTGTATATTGGCTAGCTTCAGAAGAAAATGGAGCTGGTGGCTTTACCTAATTGTATTTCTTTTGTCCTTTCTCCCTTAAGCAAATCTAAGGCTGTGTTTTCCCCAGAACTGAAGCAGGAAAGATGCAGAAAAACTCCTCAAAGTGGTTGCAGTGTATACCAGTCCGTCGACTTCCCCAGCACCATTTTTGCCACTGTCTTATTTCTGGGATGCGGGGATAGGTATTTGTGATCATTACTATGGTAGTTCAATGCATTTCTTTTGGTCATTACGTATGTTGGCTGCTCTTCCATCAGGAGTAAGTAAGTTTATCATTTAAGGGAGTGATACAAACCCTACAAAGAGCAAAGGCATCATTCAAAGGCGTGTTCAAATGCTTGTGCATATGCACATAGTAGTGCATAAATCAGTATTAACTCTACTGTTTCTGGTATAGCCATTTTGCTGTTTGACGAGGAGAAGTTATGAGCATGCAGAGCTGCCACAGAGAGGCAACATCAGGCTCGGGGTACCACAACTCATCCTTATAGGCTTTCCCTGACTCCTTCCGAGAGCAGCTCGCTGTCTGCGGTTGTGAGAAGTGCCACTGCAATCCATTTTTCTCACACGCTGTAACGCCCATTCCTGACTGCCGTCTCTCAAATCACTAAAACCTGTCCTGTGGTGTTTTGAAAATCTGGTAGATCAGACATACTGAAAAAAGAAACTTGGTGTAAATTACTGTGTTTATTTAAACTCTGAGAGCTGGAAATTTACTGCTTTTTCACTTAGGGACCTGCTGTCACAAAGTGAGGCAAAACGTCTGCCTGGCTCTTCTAATTACCTTAGCGCAGCTAACTTGTTCACATGAGATATTTTGGATTCCTTTGTACATCAGCAGAAAAAGGCCAAATTTCTCTTAGCATTTATTGACAAGCAGTTTATAACAAGTGGGAATGCGAAATATTTAGAATGAGACTGCCAAAAGGTTTTGACATAACCTTTCCCCTTGATGAGTGCAAATATCTGCTAAATGCCAAGCGCCTCCCTTACTGTGTTGGCTGGCACATTTCTGCCCAAACCCTTCTCTTAGTCTCAAGCATCATTACTGAGAGATATGCTAAAATTCACAACAGGGTGGCAAATTGCTTCTATATTTTCTGCTGAGTGTGTAACAAATTGGACCCAATCTTTCATGGACAAAATGATGCCAAAAGTCAGACAACATATTGCTCAAGGATTATTATGTGCATCTTCACTCTCGGTCTCCCTGATGAAGAAAACAGGGAGCAAGACCATTAGGTCACATTGCAGTATTTTTCAGAAAATATTGATTTGCAAGGTTGCATTTACCAACTCTAAAATTTAAGTAGCAGCCTGCAGAGCGTTTCAGAAATTGGCTAAAATATTTATAGACAGCACATTTTGCCTTTACTCAGGTTTTTAAGATACAGAGGAAACCAACATTTATTTCTGCTTCATAAAATATAATGTATATTCAACCTGCAGCAGCTTGCAGTTCTGACAAGGAGCTTATTTTAAAAACTAGTGTGTAATTTAAAATCAGTACTTTAAAAAAGTAAATAGTCTAGCGATAACTTTGAAGTATTGAAGAATGTTTCTTAGCTATAGTATTTATCAGTTTGGGCTGGTAAAGGCAGTTTCTGTTGACCTAATACAGCAGATAAATTTTCTTCCTGCTAGTTTGAAGAAGGAAACAATCACAAAAAATGACTTAATAAAAACATAGAATAAAGCATACCTGAAGTCAGGCAAATAATTTCTGAAATACAAAAGTTGCTATGTCTATCTATATCTATACCTATACCTATCTCTGCAGCAAAAAGTTGACATATATCCCTGACAGAAGAAAATATCCAGTTTGATTAGCTTGTATGTGAGGTTATTTTTTTTTGTAAACTAAACAGCACTAAAAAGATACGAGAGACATGTATTACTTTGAGAGAGAAAAGTTGCAGTAGGACAGATGTAATTAAAATGTGTTTAAAATACTTGAAGGTGTGTTGAAGCACTTTCCTTCCCTATATGTAGCTTTAGTTCAACCATACTTCAGAGTTGCATTTGGGTTTTTTTGCTAAATTATGCTATTTTATATATAAGATGTTACATGCTAATTATATAGAGAAAGGGCTGTATGAGTATGTGTGTTTTTGTACCTGGAAGGGATGTTTCTTCCTCTGTCAGCAATAGGTAAAAGTGAAAATCTCTGCTTTATGCAATGAAGCTCAATGTCTTGGGAATGCTTTATTGATGAGTGCTTGAATTAAGTGCCTATTTAAGAAGAGGAGCATGGGCCAGCCTCATTAGTGCTAATGCAGGAAGATTTAAATTATGTTTTTGTGCCCTAGCAAGGTCTTCTGTACCTCTGGGAGATTACTGTAAAGGAGGGCAAGGAGGGCTTCTACGCCGCTCTCCATTAGCACAGGAACATCCTTAATTTCTTGCCCTCCGTTCCATGGGAGTTAGGTTAGAAGAAACTGCTGAGATGATTCACTCAAAGAGAGTATCCTGCAGATAGCCTGCCTCCTGCAGCAGCCCTGTGAACATGGTGTTCCTCTTCTCTGGCTCTAGACAGTAAAACGAAAGTTGTCCTCTGCTTTATTATTAGAAATGGTTCCCTAACAGATTTTCTTGCAACAACACTGTTGCAGGAGCTGTGCCCACAATATAAAATACCTTTGGCAATGAATACTCACAATACAGGTCTGTTGAGTGATGCAAAGTAATAACCACCAAACTATGTAGCCTCTTAAGGCAGCTGTGTGACCCCAGATTTCATGTGCTGAGAGTGCAAAAGCCAAGACTGTTCTATCTCTGCACAAACCCTAGCCACGATCTAGTCATTTGTAAGTTTTCTCAGCCATCGACTGCTTCTCCTGAACAGCTCCATCCCTTGTGAGTGACAGTCTGAGCAATTGTACACAGTCGCTGAAGCACTGGATTTTTCTGCTTCTTTCTTGTATGTATTGGGCCTTATCAGTAGGGCACGCCATTCATCGCACTGTCTGTTAATAGCCTTTACTGAGCCAAGCCTCATACCTTGCTCCCTCATTGTGTGCTAATGTATCCTGTCTTGAAAAGAGGCAATAACGTTATATTTTTCTGGCCTTTCCAGGTATGTGGATTGAAAAAAAAGAATCAAACTAATCCCTGTAAATGCCTCTGCTGTTGCAACACATTTTCCTCTACTTGCAGGATAATTAGTTACCAAAATTAACCCTGTGTTCAAACACTTTCAAAATCTTACCACAATAGGCTGCGGTATTTTATCAGGAACTGTCACTGAGCGCGGCAAAGCAAATGCTGTGATGCGTGTTTCCCAGGGGAGCCTACGAGAGAGGCTTCACCCATCACATTAGTCCTCACTCCCCTTTCTTGCAATGCAACACTGGTAGCTGACAGGCTCCCTAATGCTGTTCTGGGAGCTCCTCCAAAATAAGAGAGGATGTAAAAAGTTGCATAGAAACGAGAGTGCTTTAATGTCATGTCTCATCCATCTATCCAACCACCTCCTTTCAGTTTCTACTGTAAGGGGAAAAGTGCGTGCCCTTATCATACGAAGCACCCTGCAAATCTAGGATGGTGGGAAGCTCAGTTCCCTGCCCAAGGGGATGCATTTGCTGTTTATTTTTTAAACGAGAAATCCTTCTTGATTTGAAGATAAGATAGCAGCTGCAAGAGTATCTTAACATGACAAGCAGTTGTTGTTTAACCTTCATTGTTAAAGCATCACCTGATGACCAGCCTCACTTGTAGGCTATTTATCCAGAAGCACTTACCAGTTATTTTCACTATGTT